CCAGCCCTGCTGTACAGAAGCACTGTGAGCAGGACACTGATGCTGCACACGACGTGCTCCAGGTGATGGGAACCATGGCATGGTTTGGGTGATGGTTTAAAGATCATCTCACCCCACCCCTGCCATGGCAGGGACACCTTCCACCACCCCAGGGTGCTGCAAGCTCTGTCCAACCTGGCCTGGGACACTTGCAAGGATGGGGAGAGAAATATTTCACTGTCTTCTCATTTTAAGAAGGTGCCAGCACCACAAACCCCTAACCCTGAGCCTGAAGGAGCTCCTGAAGGAGCAGGGTCATCACAATGCCTCTCCTTGTGTCCCCAGACACCAGTCTGGAGCCCAAGGGACAGCAGCAACCCCCCAGATTCCTTGTCCATAACTGAGGACAGCCCCTGGCAGTGACAAAACCACAGGGATGCTCTATCAGAAGAGGCAGTTTGGGGCACAGCACCTGGGAGCAGGATGAGAGGTTGGTCAGTGTTATCCCCAAAGGAGTGCTTGGGGCCTGCAGCCTTGCCAGGCACTCTCCTCATTTATGGACAAAGTATTTTCCACAGAAAACTCAACAACTGTTTTATTTTTAGTCACAGTTAATTTTAAAGAAAAAAAATCTTAAACTAGCTGTATGTAAATGAAGCAGCTGATTTCCGTCATTCAGCCTTGGAGCTTAAAATCCCACATAGTGTTGACATGAAAGATGCCACTAATCTGTCAACAGCTTTTGCTAATTAAACATTCCTTTTAAGTGCACTCTGTTTTATACCATCTGCTAGGCTGAATCCATCCTGCAGGGACTGTTCATTTGTCTTAAACTGGGAATTCACCACTGACAGTAACAATGGAAAAGGCAGAGATGCTGAAGCCCACATGTGCTGACTGCCAGCAGACACACACAGGGCACTGGCAGGAGGGAGCTGAGCTCCAGGGCTGCAGCACGATGGAAATGCAGCTCCTGCACCCCCAGCCGTGCCCAGGGAGATCCCTGGGAACAGGCAGATCCAGCTGGGACTTTGGTGCTGGGGCTGAACACATTCCCAGAGCCCTCTGCTGCTCTCCCCAGCCCCTGCACACGGGTTTGCACACGGGAAACACAAAAAGGGCTCACAGACCTGCAGGCACTGAGATTTGAACAACCAGGAAGTTAATTCTAATTTCAAACAGAAGTAAATCAAAACAGATGCTCGACTCCAGCCTCACCTACAGCTCTGTCAACAATGCAATCTTCAAATCTCATAGAAGATTTAATTTTCCATAAAAAAGCAGTTTCCTCTTTTTTATTATTTTAAATTAAAAGATATACTTATCCTTTAGAATACAGATATTCAATTGGGCATCTGTGGATTCTTGGAGGACCCAGGTACCATTTTTCAGAGATCCACATTCACTGACCAAACTCTGCTTCCCAGAACTGTGGGGATTCTCCAAGAATCTGACTTTCCTGAGCCATTTGCTTCTTCAGGATTCTACCAGCTTCAAACTACAGACCTGAACCCATCCCAGGGACTTCAGCTCTTGGCTGCTCTACTCACCTGTCAGAGGATGCTGAACACGTCTCAGACCCTTCCCCATCTGCCAGAATGTCTGAATTGGTGCTGAAGGGGAAAATAAAAGTAATGGAAATTATTTCAGCAACACCTACAGCAATGCAGGGCTCCACTCAGCAATGGCAGCAGATTCCCTGGATGAGACCCTTCAGCAGCAGCAGGAGAAATAACATCAACCTGCAGTCCAGAAACTTCCATCTCTGTCTCACTCCATTTTTAGTTATCCCTGGGGTCTCATTATCATTTTTTACACACAAGACCATTCTTTGTTTATGTGTGTTAGGTGGTAACTACACCACCTCTGTCTTCCCAGGCACCAGAGAGTTTCTCTGGAGAGATCTGCAAGATGTTTTGGGGGGTAAAATGTACTTTCTTTATTTAAAGTCTCTCTTAAATAAATCAATGTGACATTTCTATAAGACAGCAGGATTTTCTTTCACCCTTTGCCATTTTGTCTCCCCTGAAGTGAGAGTCCTCAGCTGTTACTGTGGAGATGACTACAGAACCAACAGGAATTTGGCTGGACAAACATCACCAGGTTAGAGTAACCTACAACACATGCACATTCAGTCATACAGATAAAAAGGAAAAAGATACCAAAAATGGATGGGGAACGTTTTGAAAGTCAAATTGTTTTTACTCTCAGAATTAGAAGTCCATCAAAAGCTCATTTTCAGTGCTCGAAGTGGATGCCCAGGGAATGAATTATCATATTTCCAAACCCCACTCTGATGTTCCAGTTGCATTTTAAAAAAGAACTGGGGAGGACACAGGGCTATTTGTGTGCTTTTAGTCCCCTAAAATAGAAGAAGAACAGGTTTGAGGCCTGAACATGATGTACTTCCCTGCCTTGAAAACTGCAGCATTTATCACCCGCCGTGTTTGTCACCACAAAACAATAAAACTGCAAAAATCTGGCCAAGGCTCAAAGCAATAACACACACTCAGAATTCACATGTGGAATCCATGGCCCGGGCCTAGCAAAGCCCTTTCAAATCAAGTACAAAAGGTCCTGGAGCGGGTTCCACCTTTGGCCTGCACATGGAGCACTGAAGTTCCCAGAGACCCCAATTAACTCCTGTCCCTAATTGCTCTGGGACTGGGGAGCTGCACAGAGCTGAGCTCTGAATTTCCAGCTGCAGCCACGAGTCCTCTGCTCCAGGATCAATTCCAGCATGCAGGAGCACATCCCTGCATCCCAGCTCTCCCACCTCACCCACGGAGCCTGCACTTGGAGCTGAGCTACTGATGCACCTTTCTGACACATGACAGGGGACTAAAGTGTTGGAAAATTAAAAAAAAAAAATCCTTAAATATGCCACAGTTGAAAAACAATTATCACTAAAAACCACTGCTAATTAAACAAAAGCAACTTTGACCATCAACTGAATTTGTATTTTAAATTAACTTTTTCTTTCTCCTCCCTCTTACTAGCATCAAACGATTAGCCCTTAAACTGAAGATTATGAATTAAACTGAAGATTATGAATTAAACTGAAGATTATGAATTAAATAAAGGAAGCAGCTGCCTCATACTGAAGGGTTTTTTCCTATAAATTTTAGCCCATAGAGGACAAAGAGATCACAGAATTTAGAATTTGGTTCATTTTTCCGATGTTTTCAGTGCCCCAGAGGTATCGACCTGCATTGCATCCAGGCACAGCAAAACACCCTTCACACTTTATTCAGACTCCAGATTCAAGACAAATTCCCACAACAGGATTTCTGTCCTTTTCTTAACTAAAGGTCACTGATCTCTCCCACAGTTTTACAGATCATTTCCAGATGAGTCAATTTTACAGCAAAGCCATTGAAGTTCTTCACCTGAACTGCTCGGGATGCAGCCAGCATCCTGTGGCAGGGTGATCCTGCACTTATTCCTGCCTCCACGTTGGGAAAAATGTTCCTGCAGGATTGGTTTCCCTGATCCCACACACACAGTGAACCAAGCCTCAACTCCTCCTTTCCTGACCATCACTTGGGTTTGACTTCCACTTATCTTTTCACTTAAGATAAACACACCACCCTAAAACAGAGAGAAAAAAGCTGATGTAAGTGTGGGTGACATGTCCTGTTCTAAACTGAGAGGAGCAAACTGCTCTTTGAATTGGTTTATTTTAAGGCAGATTAAGTTCCTCCTCGGCCTCGTGTGAGCAGCCAGCACCCTCCCATCCATCCATCCATCCATCCATCCATCCATCCATCCATCCATCCATCCATCCATCCCATCCATCCATCCATCCATCCATCCATCCAATCCATCCATGTGCTGGGGACCAGGCTCTGGCAGGTTTCCCTCAGTGCTGGCACAAGAAATGAGCTCCAGCCCATTTACCCATTTACTGGGAGTGAATGCCCAGCCCCAGGAGGGGGGAAAGCAGCTTTTCCCCCTTGCAATGCCTGCACAATTCCCCCTGAAACCAGGGTGAGCAGCCCAGGCTGTGTGCCATGGCCAAGACGAGCTGTGCAACACAACACCACCTGCCCTGGCTTTCCAGAACCTTCTCTTCAGAGCCCATGGCTTCAGCCCCTGTCTCTGGATGGGGCTGCAGCCTTGGCTCTGCCCAGGCCCCCAGGGAGGGCTCTTTGTACCAAACCCTACACAGCTCCCGTGTTTTGCTGCTTTCCCTGACCCTTTCCAGGCTCCCTCAGTTTCCCACAGGCCCTGTGCAGCCCAAGAACTCGGCCTGGAGGCTGTGCCTTGGGAAAAGGGGAGGATCTGCTGCACCCACTGAACTGCTCCCTGCAGGAGAGTGGCACCAGGGGGATGTGGTGGCTCAGGCACCTCCCTGCCACAGCTCTCATCAAGGCTCAGAGATGTCCCCCAGGACACTGGCTGTATGTGGAGCTTCCAAGGCCACCAGCTGTCCCCAGGACTCTCAGCTCCCCAAAGCTCACAGCTCTGCCGTTTGTTACAGCTCAGTGTGGGGAGAAAAGTATGAATCAACAGCATAGCAGCAAAGCCTCATCATCCTTTCACAATGAACCCATATCTGAGGCCAACATTCACAGATCATTCCTGTCTAACACTGATACACATCATCTCTGAGCCAAAGCTCTGCAAGATTTATTACGTAAAGCAGTTCTGAAGAACTAAAAAAGGCAATTATTGCCCTGATCAACACATTTTCATACACTTCTCTCATCTGACAGCAATGGCCAGGGCACAGGACAACGCTGCCTTCAGGCTCAGGCTGCCCAGGAGGAGCTCACACCGATTTCCAAGCATTGCATCGTGCCAGCTGTGCCAAACCCTGCAGTAAGTGCTGCCAGCCAGGCCACTCCTGCTGCCACCTCCTCTTCTGCTCGTGAACAAAGCACAGCAATCCAAGGGTAAGTGACCTGCTAAATGCACAAATGACCCTGATCAATGGCTCCTGAACTCTCTGCCAAAAAGCCCCAAATATTGCAAATGAGGCCCCTCCTTGGGCATGAACCCCCCCAGTGACCCTGAGCCACTCTGGCTATTCCAGCAGCACAGGATTTCTACAGGCACTGCACACAGCACTTCCCCACAGAATTCTGAGTTTCAGCATCTCAGACAAGGCCAATGTTGGGTCTGTCTGCTGTTCAAGGCTCACCCCAGTCATCAGGAACCAACACTTGTTTTGAACACAGTTATAAGAAAAAATAATTGGCTTTAAAAACCGCATACCATCCCCATTATATAAAATACTTCTAATGGAATATTTCCTTTACATAGCTCATTAACTAGCTTATCGTTGTTCCTCCTAGTTTCTTTTCTAATTTTCCTATTGTTTAAGTAATTGTGTAAAATTTGGCTCCAGTTCCAGAAAGGCAAAGACCACCACAGCACTGTTCATATGGAGCACTGCAGTCCTGGGGCAGCCCCGTGCAACTGGGACTCCAGAGCTTTGAAAAATTCCCCTTCCAAAGGCATGGCTGTGCTTTGGGGCTTACCTGTAGCACACACTTTGCTCTCTTGGTGGGATCATCAATCTCCCTGAGGCACAAGTGTGCTTGGGGCACTGCTACAACCTCCATGCCTGGCCTGCAGCAGGAGTTAAATTCTCATTTTCTCAGTTTTAGCATGGACCTTTGAATAGTATCAGTTCATCAGAGATTAGTGTACAATGGATACATTTCTAATCTTGACCAACTACTCCCTTGGAAGTATTAACATGAGACTGAAAAGGAACAAACCTTATGAAGGAGGAAACAGAAGAATCACTGATTTCTTTGCACCATCTTTTTGCAGAACAAACATTTCAATTCTGGCTTGCAGATTGTTCTATTTTATATGCTACTCAACATTCTCATTTTGTTTTAATTCATCAGAACCGCCCTCCATTTAGAAGTGCCCTCCTCACAGGAGCACAGCATGCAGATTTGGAATTCCAAATATATTTCCAGTTTTGACATTTCAATGTGAAAAACATTTACTCTTGGCAAAGGATACCCTCTGGTTATCAGAAGAACACAAGCCTCAGAAATCCATTACTTGATACAATACCACAATGCTACTGAAACCATCATTCTTGCTTGATTTATGCTGGATTTATTTCACTACAATTAACAAAATACCAGCCCCATGGTAACCACACGGTGATAAATTGTCTTTTTTTCATGCAGTTGGAATGACTACACCTGCTTGTTACAGCCCTGCCATGACCCAGGGCCCTCCTGGACACTGAGCCCTGAGCAAGAGCTGCAGTCCCAGACAGAGGGGACAGCCCAGAGCTGGTCCCTGGGCACTGCAGGACCCCACAGGACCCCAAACCAGGACCTGGCCCTGCACTGAGCCCAGCAGCCCTGGCAGCCCCTCCAGAGCAGTGAGCAGCAGCACAAAGGGCCCAAAGAGCACCTTGGAGCCTTTGCAGTGAGTGTTCCTCTACCTCAGCCCTGGGGAGATTCCCTACAGCCTCCCTTTATTTCCCAGAAAACACAGGAAAGCTCTCTGAGGGACACTGGTCACACAAGAGGGACCTTCCACCACCCCCAGGCACTCCAGCTGAGGCTGCAGTGCATTTCTGCTGCTGCTCTCCCGTCCCTGTGCAGCCCAAACCCTGCCCTTGGCTGCAGGGTGGGATGGCCCTGGGCCCCCCCAGCTGCCCCCGTGCAGGGCAGGCTCAGAGCAGAGGTCACCCAGCCCTGCAGGTCAGGGTGTCCCACTGGGGACTCTGCTCCAGCACCAGCCTGAGACACCCCAGCGTGACAGTGTGTGAGCTGAGAGTGACACAGAGCACCGGGGGGAGCAGGAAAGCAGCAGCAGATCAGCTCCCTGGTCACAGGGAAGGAAGAGCTGCCCTCATCACTGACAGCCTGAGGCACCGAGATAAATCTCGGCCAGTGCTCAGCTCAAAGGCTGCACATGGAACAGCAAATAAACTGATGTGCTGCTTTATCAACTTTACAGCACCAGCTCAGGCAGAAAGACACAGATAGCACAGAGGGGAAAGGCCACAGGAGGGGAAGGGTTTTATTGGTCTCTAAGGCAGGTCTGAAGTCAAACAGAAAGGCAGTGATGTTCAGAAAGGGCAACAAGGACCCTTCCTGTCTCCCCAAGTGCTCTGCCAGCCAGCAGATTGCTGTTTACTGACAAATATTTACTGTGTGCCCCCACTCATTCAAGTAAATGGAAACAGGCAAAGTTTGATCCTGTAAAACAAAGACATTTACTGTTTGATGCTCTTTAATGCCTGGAGCTCATCTCCCAGGCTTTCAGTGGCAGCTCAACATTTCCCTCTGGGAAAGGGAACCCTCATGATGACTTCTTTTAAAAGCTCTTTAACCCTGATGATGGCTTTTAAATCTCTTTAACCCTCATCATGGCTTTTAAAAGTTCTTTGTGAACCAAAATGGTTCCAATTAGGAAAACTGGTTTCTGTTAAAATATTTCTATTAGACTGGTCTGTTAATAATCAACAATGAAGCCAATCACTACTTTACTCTTAGCATTTGCAGAACAAGGAGGAAGAGGCAGGTACCAGGGGTCTAAGGGGTGGGAAATCAAGAAATGTCACTCCTAGCTCAGCTGGTGACCTTCAGCTACTTCCTCTGATTATGTTCCACTTCTAAAAACACAGGAAACCCTTTTATTCCTGGTAATGCAGACCTGAATTCTCCTCTCATTTCTGTTATCAAGATAGCAAGATTAGCTCTCTTGCTTCTATACACACAGCAAAACCCAATTATTCTGCTTTTGTCTTCAATGACTTTGTCACCTTTCCTCCAGAAACTGAGGCCACAGGTCCTTACAGCTGTACGACTTAAAAAGACTGGGGCCAAATCAATTTTGGGACCTCTCTGAATGAAAGTGCCAGCAGATGGGAAGGTGAAGCAGTGGAAGGGACTCACCAAACACAGTCCTGGCCCCCCAGACATCCCAGTCCCTGCTCCTGAACCAAAAGGAACATTTACACTACAATCCCTTACGAAGGCAATACAAACTATGAAGTGAATTCTCTGTGTGTTTGAGCTCCATTCCTGAAGCTCCTGAACCCCAGGAGCAGGCTGGGGAAGGAATCTGGTTTGCCCCAGGCAGAAGAGGCTCCCTCACCAACCTGCAGCTCGAGGCAGACGAGAAGGAGATCTCGGGAGAGGCTGATCTCTGATAATCCTTCAGGCAATCACTGTCACTTCTCTGGCCATCAGGAATTTCTGGCTGGAGTGTCTGGGCTTTTCCAGGGACAGCAGCTGTGTGATGCTCTTCCCCACGTTCTACCAAGAGCAAAGACAGAGATTAGAAAGAATGATAATTGAAAAATACTGTTGTTTAGGAGTCTGCAGCCTAGAGATAGATTTTTAAAGAAAAAATTAAGTTATAAACATTTAAATAGCAACATCTCATTCCCACATACTTGCTTTCCAAAACTTCGACAGTTTCAAAGGTTGAATTTCTTTTTATGTGTATTTAAAAAAAGAAATCAACCAGCAACTCCCTGAGAACCAGAAACGTTTCACTGTTGAGTTTCAAACGCAAGGAGAGAAATAAAGGGTGAGGATGGGTTACACATTTCACAAGATGAACTTTATTTCAGAAATTAGCAAGCACTTAATGAGTGCTGTTGGCTGCTTGTGCTGCCAATTCCCTTCAGACAGCTTGAGCTTTAAATTTAACAGATCCAGTTAACAGGCTTATTTTCAGCTGTGATTTACTTCCTTATGCACCTAAGACAAGGTCAATGCACTGACATTTCCATTTCAACAGGAAAAATAATTTCTACACAACACAATAGACAAAAAATTGAAAACCATTCTGCTGGTTTTGTGTCAAGTGTTTTGTTCATAGAGGAGATGAACAGTTCTCTGAAAAGACACCTTCTGCCCCTCCAAAGAGAAAAGAGATTTGGGTTAAAAGATCTGCTATGAGAATTGAGATTGCCCTTATACCACACCCACAGATATTTGCAAGTGAGTTACTTAACTCAGAAAGCACTCAGGACACAGAGCCCTCCCAGCCCAGGGCACTGATGGTGACAGGCACACACATTCCTGGCTCCATCTCAGGGCCAAGCCCCTCCAGAAATGGTTTGGGCAGAAATGGCCAGGCAGAACTTTAATTGGAGCCTTCACAATCTTGGAATTCAGCTCAGCTTGCCCTTTCTCTCCTGCTAACAGGCACAATTTAATATCAGGGGCATATTTCTGTCTGCTGAAAACAACCAGCAGATCCCAGTGAGTTGGTTGTCCAACTAATGAAACACAACTCTGAAATTAGCAGGGTAAAAATAGCAAAGGCCTGTGCAATAATGCAGCCCAGCACAGTTAATATTTATCAAATCAAATTATTTAGCACCAATACATATCAAATCCTTATGGAACTTTCCCCTAAGGCAAAGCATAGCCCCATGTTTAGAAGTTATAAAGACTTGGAAACAGATATTTTAAGCTTAAAGATGAAAAGCAAGATGATGTAAATCAGGAACAGATGATTAAAATGTCACCACACACAAAGTGAGGTTAAATTACATTAACCAATAGTACAGTAGAGGGTAATGGAAGAGATGGAGAGGGAAATTAAAATAAATGAACAAACCAACAAAACCCCAATCAAACCAAAGATCTGTTTTAATTGTGTACAATTCCATCACTTCCACGAGAACCCAAGGGAAGTGGGTGAGGAATGCAGACACAGGCTGGCTCTGCCAGCTGCTGCCATCAGGCCATTTCTGGATTCTTCCTTTGCCAGGCTGCAGCTCCCAGTGCAATCCTAAGGCAGGTGCTGCTAACAGGGAACCCTGGGGAAACAGGCTGCAGGCATCTGTTCCCTCCCCTGGAAATCATCTTTTTGCTTTTCCAGTTGTTTACAAGCAGTCATCCCTGTGCAGATGTTGTGTGTAAAACTCCAAACTGAAATTCCAGGGATTTATTGGAAGCTCAGAGAACAAAGTGTAATGGAAATTGTGCAGGTCTGCCAGAACCAAACGAGGTGCTGCCACATTCTGAACAAGATGCAGGATGCCACATCTGACCCAAGTTATTTTCTACCTGATCACTCCTTTGGAACAACTCCATGGTTTTACTTCAGCCCTTACAGCCTGCAGGGCAGCACACACAGGAGACAGAAAGCCCAAAATCCTGAGCAGCCCAACCCTCCCTTGTGGAGCTGCAAATCAAGGCTGTGACCCCACTACCAATCACACATTGCCTCTGCTTCTGCTACAGAAGAGCAACAGCTTAAAATCTTTTATCCTTGAGATTCCTTCACTTCTGCCCTTCACACAGAACACGTTATGCACTGCAGCAGGAAACAATAAGGATAAAATTCACACTATTGCACTGATTTCTTCATTTCTTTTTATTCTTCAGAGCTCTGCTGGAAGAGCCAGCATTGGAGAGAGGCACAGATGAACTGAGCTCAAGAGCACAGGATTTGGGGGAGCTGGGACAAATGTCACTGCCATGTTTCCTGTACAGACAACAGCACATCCCAGCTTGGCCAGGGGGACTCTGACCAACACTCAGTCTCTTAAACAGATTAGAAATCCTCGAGTTCTGTGAGGCTGAGGAATGCAGATGTTCCCTGCCCAAGCTGCCAGGAAGCACAGCCCAGAGGAGACCAAAGGGTCCTGCAGGCAGCACACCTGGGGCACAGCCAGGTGATGTCTGGTGCTGGGGAGGAAGGACAAGGGACAGGGGAGGAACTGCAGCCACGCATTCCCACTTCCCACTGTGCTCCATGAACACAAAACACAGCAAGTTAAAGAGGCAACATCCTGCATGAACAGCCTAAAACAAGCCCAAGGATTTTATTGCTTCAGTCTCAGGACAAAATTCCTGAATCCAATCCCCACAAATACTTCTGCAGTTCCCAACTACCAACCCCTCACAGTAAGAATGCAGCAAGGCAGAAAGGCAGCACCCACCTTCACCCCCATTGCAGACTGGAACGTGGCCACCCCAGCACCAGAACCTGGCACCTCTTTTCAGCCACCTGGAACGTGCCCCAGACACATCCACACACAACACAAACCAAACTAATGTTTATTGTGGGCCATGCTTATGTTCTACAACAAAATCAATAGTAGTAAACCCTTTATTGTCTGTTTGATCTTTCTGCTGGTTGGATATTTTTCCTCTAAGAGGTTCTAGAACAACAACAGATGAATGACCATTTCTTTGTGAATCCCACACTTCTTAGTGTGGTCCAAGAAGGGACAATACCAAATGTCACTGACCTGTGGCTGCTGGCAGCTCTTTGACAGAAACTTCCTCTTGGTTTTGAGCACTTTCTGCTTTCCTCTCACCCATCTTCTTCCACCGTTTATTTACTTGATCCACCAAGAACTTGAACTCACTTCTGTGTTTGTTTCCTGGAAAGTAACAGAGCATCACTGACCACCCCCACAGCACAAACACTGACAGGAGTGAACAGAAATGGACACACAAAAATGAATTAAAAGCATTTTTGTTTGTAAAACCAGCCTAGCACAGTGACATGTATCACATTCTATTAAAGATCCAATTCTGTGCTTTTATAGAGCTACCCCCAGCCCAGAGCAGTGGCACAGGGGACACTCCATGCTCTGTGCCATGCCCACTGCACTGCTGGGATTCAGATCCTTTAAGCAAGTTAATAATGCAAATACTCTGTGCACTTTCCATCACGTTTTAAGCACTCCCCTGGTGCTCAGCCAGAGCACTGGAACTGTTTGACCTCAACACTTCAGATGCTTTACTCAGAGGCTGGGAAACACCCAGTGTCCTCAGCAGGGCACTGTGGGTCACCCAGCCCTGGCCAGGCAGGGAGGGAAGCCAGCCAGGTGAGGGTCAGGCTCTGCTCCCTGGAACAGGGACAGCAGGAGAGGGAAGAGCCTCCAGCTCTGCCAGGGCAGCCTCAGGGTGGGCATCAAGAATTTCCTCTCAGAAAGGACTGGCCAGCATTGTGTCACCTCCCTGAGGAGCCCATTCCAGTGACTGACCACCCTTTCAGTGAAGAGATTCTTTGATGTATTCTATGAGAAAACCACACCAAGTTCTGCCCCACAGAAGGAAAGAGATTTGACACCAACTCCCTTTCCCTGAGTAGCTGAAAACACCACATAAGGCCAAAAATTCTGTTAATAAAAAGCAAGTTCTGTCCCAGATGTCGTGTCTTGAGTTGCTGCAATCTCACTGCAGAATTCCTTTGGTGCTTCAGTTTTTCCAGCATTACTATCTTTTGCTGTTCTGGCTCATGGCACAACTACAAAGCCTTTTGAGAAGAAATGTCCTGGCACACACGAGCACTGCTCAGCTCCACTGTAAATCAGAGTGGTGCTGAAACGACACCCCAAGCACATCCCAGCAAACTGCAGCAGGGTCAACCAGCCCCACGCAGAAGGACAAATATTGAAAACACAAGATAAAGCAGACCCCCAAAGAACATGGCAAATTAAAAGATTTATAAGCAGAAAAGGCAACTGAATTTGTTTTTTTCACATATGTATTTCCTTTCCTGTAGGTGTTTTAACTCTTTAAATAGAAACCACGAAGAAAGCAGAGTGGGCTGAGGGTGCCCCCAGTCCTGAGGGGCAGAAGGAAATGACAGAAATGACAGTGGCTGTAATTGCCAGCCAGAGCTCCCAGCCAGCTCCATCCTTGGGTTCACCAAGCCCAAGTTTTAATTGCCATTTCATAAACAGCAAAAAGATGCCAACAGTGCAATGTGCAAATTGCCAAGAGCCTGGGAAAGTGCAAAGAAGCAGAAAAAAAAGCATTTTCTCCCAAACAGTTTGTCCTGCCTTTCCCCAAGGCTGTTCACACTCCCAGGGTGCTTTTGCATATGGAAAAGCAGAACAAAAGTACATTTGGGGGGTTTTACTCAGAATTTACACCAGAGTTCATTCATTCAGCAGGGAATTAGGGTCTGGGGTACAAATGCTGTCAAATAAAAGGGAAAAAAATGCTTCATTGTGTAATAAAGCTTTCTAAAGGCCATCTGTTGTACAGTGAAATAATGGCACTTGGTAAGAGTTCTTTAATCTCAAACTGTTCTTGAATTTTAACATAGAGTTATCATGCTCATGATTGCTTCCTTATGATTTTATGAAAAATAATTACCTGACACCAGTTACCACTTGCCTCTTTGGTCAGTATTTTTCATTAATTTTAAAACCATATCTTTCCATTAAAATACTTTTCTATCTTCCCCTTTTTCCTGTTTTTTCAAACTTTGCAACTTTCAGTTAATCTGCTTGAGACTACCAAGATCTCCAAGTGATTAGTTTTGTAGCCATGCCCATTTTGCAATCTCAACTCAATCAAATACCTGTCTTTAAAAATTAAGACAGTATTTAATACATTTTTGTTCTAGATGTGTACCACAGGCCAAGAAAATAAAACCAGGAGCAGGAAGGGCAGTCCTGGCCCGGGTGGGCTCAGCAAGGGCAGCTCTGCTGCAGAGGGTTCCACACATCCCACACCTGCTCTGCTGCTTTCATGTCCAGCAACCAAAAAAAAACCAAAAAAAACCCAAAGTTCATAAATTGAGATGCCTTTGGAGGCAGTGTGTGCACTTTAGCTCAAAGGAAAAGAATTTAAAAGCAAAATGAGGTGACATTTGCATGTTACTTACGATATTCAGCATGGATCTCATCTATTTCTTCCTCTGTCTGATCCTTTGTGAAGGTCAAGCTCTACAGAAATCACACAAATGTTTCCAACATAAATGAAAAGATGGTAAAGATGCAGGCTTTGGAATTTAAAACTGGAAGAAGCAACTGTTTGTTTTCCTCCCCCAGCTGTCAGTACCTGATCACATAAATCCACATTTCCAGAACAGAACATACCCACAGTGTCCTGCCCTGCTTCCACAGAGCCCCCAGCACATGTGGGCCACAAAAGATTTCCTAACACTGCAGCAAACAGGCTCCAAAAGTCACCCAAGGATCAAGTGTCATGGGAAAAGGAGCATGCTACTGCCCATACACAAGCATGGAATTTGCTAGCTAAATCCTAGAGAATTCTAGGAAGCAAAACATTCCCCACACTGCCATGGAGGGACAAAACCTTCCAGTATGGCCAAGGAGAACATTACTCAAGGATTTTTATTGCAGTCAAAAATTGCTCCAGCTTAAAGAGTCTGGGCATAAAGCTCAGCAGGGCACCCAGGACAAATGTGTGGTGTGACATCAGGCTCAGCCCAGGATGCTAAATGTGAACTCCACCATGCACAGTAAACAGCAGGCAGACACTCTCAGTGGCCACTGTGCAGTTCCTGCTGGCCACCCCCTGTGAGAGCCAGGATCAGTCACTCACATTTTCACCAGGTTTGTTACACTCCAGCTGAAGCCGAATCTTCTCATTCTTTTCCAGCTCTTTAACAACCTCTGCAACTGTTTGGAAATACAAGAAAGGGACTGCTGAGACAGGAGCTGGGCAATAAAAAGCTGAAAACCACCCTGAATTTCAAACACAAACAGCATCAGCCCTCTGAGAGGGAAAGCTCAGGCTCCAATCCCAGTGCTGTCCTTCCAAACCCAGCAGACCTCCCTCCTGCACCCAGCTGTGCTTGGGGCACACAGGCCATCGTTCAGACACACTTTCCACTTCATACTGCATCTTTCAATGCAAGGCACAATAACTGCACCTACTGTTTATCTTACTTTATCCCCCAAACCACCTTCCAGGGCAACAGAACCATGTGCAGGCTCAAGGGCAAAGCCAACAGAGGAATTACAACCGACTTCAACAACTGGCAGACACATCCAAAGCCTATAAACAACTTAACTAGCATTTAACTAGAGCCACGGCTATGCAGAACCTTGCACAGTTTACTTTGACATTTACTTTTACAAATCTGTTTCTGCAATTCATCATCTCCACAGCACTGCCAGGCAGCTGTGGGCAGTTATTGAAACAAACACTTCACCACACAGTGAAGCAGTCAGAACAAAATCTTATTAAGCTGTGAAAGAATAAAACCTGTTCCAAACTGGTTTAAGCACACTCCAGGAATTTGGCACCTGTGCTTCCTCAGCAGCTCAGCTATTTGTGTTACAGTGACTTCAGGCTCCCAGCTACCACCAAAATGCACGTCTGCATCTCAAGTGTGACTTTAATAATTCCCCCTTTGTGCACAGGTTCTGAACACAGCAAGAGCTGGGCATTATTTAGGGGAGAGCAGCAGGAGAGCACAGCACACAGCCCAGAACTCTCCCTTTGAACGAGGCAGGGACCTGGTGGCACCCCATGACAGCACTGCAGGATCATCCCAGCAGGTTCAACAAGTATTTTACACCGAGTGCAGGCTCACCCCACACCCAGCAGGTTAAAGAAATATTCTGCACTGATCTCCACTTAGACAAGATGAATTCTTCCAGCTCTCCCAACAGCCCAAGTGTCCCACGTACCCCGAGGGGTAACAAACAGAAAGGACAATGGGATGGCAGTGATGGCAGGTGAGAAAGGACACTCTGAGATGGCAGTGACCTCCCTGCAGTCTCCCTCACCTGATTTGGGATTCAGGGAATCACACTGGGCGTTGTACATGTGCACAAACTCCTGGTGTCTCTTAATGAGCTGCTGGCGGCTCCCAGAGGTGGACAGGCCATGCTCCTTCAGCTTCTTCCTCAGATCCCGATCTGACAGCAGGTTATAAACCACTTTGGACATCAGCTTCCTTTTGTGAGCAGAACTGCCAGAGGAAAACAAAACAGACTTTATTTAATTAACACTCCTACGAAAATCACAGTATTTACAATTACTTAAGGGTACTTCGCCCACTCAGGGTAACGTAGACATGAAAGAAATTTGGATTTTCCACCCCAGTACTGACCATGGCTTACTTGAACCAGCTGGAGAAATATTAAAAGCATTAAAACATCAAGCCAAAACTTGAATTAGGAGATTTTTCAGCTTTCTGGTAACCTGTCTTTGAGAAAAATAGTCATGTACCTGAAGGCAGCAGTTCCCAGCTAACAGAAGTTTGGTGATACAGAGAGACATTGAAGATAAGTACCAGTGTTCTCAGAGGAACAACATCTAAAGCCAAAATTTACTGCTTTCCACTGCTTTCTGTCAGAAGGACTCAACATTCCTGGCACAGCTGAGGAAAACATCTTAATTACAGGAAACTGCCAGAGAAAATTCACGTCCTAGTACAACTTTTGTCACCTAAAATTAGCAGAACATTTCCTCCTGTCAAATTAGCTCAGGCTTCCCTACACCTCCTGGTGAGATGCTCTCAAACGAGGAAAAACAAAGGGGCCAAAATCCATCTACAGCCTCAGTCACCCTCTGCAACTGCAGTAATTCACAGAGGAACAGCATTTAATTAGACATTTTTCTTTCTGCAGCAAAATAAAGCTCAGCTGCACTACTCTGGATTAGAGAGCAGTTAACAGCTTTCCACTGTGAAAATGAGAGATTTATTTGAAAACTATTCAGCACTTTGGACTTATCACATTGAAAATTTCAAGGTTAAAAAAAAAAAGTCTCACACAAAAACTGTCAGTAATTCATTTACTCTCATCCAGCCCTGTAGCATGGCTGGTAAAAAAAAAAAAAAAGATGGATTACCACAATACACTCTTCAGGGAAAGTTTTTTTTCAGATTATTTTGGGACATATGAAAAACGTCACTGAAGAATTAAATTAAATCTTCTGAAAGTCCTACAGAAGCTTGGTGTGTGTTCCAGCAGTGACCTGAAGAGTGCTGACAGCTCCCAACAGGTTTAAATCCCAGAGCTGCCTGGGTTTCCCCATGCTCGAGGAACACAGTGTTCTCTGGAAACATTTCCATGCTGTAATTACCCCTGAGCAGCTTTGGGGGGCTCAGTCAGGGCTCAGCTCAGCTCTGAGCACAGCCTGCTTTGAGCAGGAGCTGAGAAGCACCAGGGCTGTGCTGTGCCACACCAGGGCCACAGACTGGGCACTGCCAGGGCCAGCATCCCCCAGAACTGCCAGTGCCCAGGGGCAGGGGCTGCTGAGAGCCTGAGCAGCCCAGAGATGAAAAAAGCACAACTTCAAATCCTGCTGGGGACATGGGCGTGACACCAAGGCCAGATCTGGCTTATTTTTCCTTTTATTAAGAACAGAAAGTATTAAACCATTCCAAATGGAAATGAAATGTAACATCAGATTTCAATATTCATTTACCATTTTTTCATCTTGAAAGTCCTTTAGCTTATGGATTGCACTCTGAGCATGACTGGGCAAAACAAGAGTTTTAACATAGAATTACTTCCTAATTAAAGGTTCTGGGGAACTGGAAAAACAAGCATTGAAGTACAAATCCTCCCAGTTCTTCAGTCTGATCAGTCAGAAATAACAGCCCCGATTTCTGCTGTAAGTAAAACAAACTGAAACTCCACTTGTGATGTGAATGTGGTGACCGTGACCAATGCTGGGGCAGGGGCACAGAGCCAAAGGAATGCATTCATCTTATGGAAATCGAGATCTTCAGGAAACTTCAACAGCCCCACAGAGAGCAGAGAAAGGTGCAATTTTTATTCTTTAACTTGACAGCTATTGAAGGAAATGTCTCTTGGCACACCTGAACCGAAGGAAGCAATTCATCCAGCAAATAAAAAATGGGAATCAGTGTTATCTGAAAGGAATTTTAATGCCAGGGAGCAGAGCAGTGGGAAGAGCAATGCACAGACTAAGCTCTCCTCGTGCTGAATTTTTAAAAGCATTGGCCACTGTTTTCTTGCCACTAAAAGCCAAAGAGTAACTGAGCTGGCAATCCACACACTTTCTCAAGGGGGGCCAATCCCCACAGTGATTTCAGAGTGCTCCACACAGCAGGGAAGCCAGGAAAACACAAAGCACTGCTAGAGCACCCCAACAACAGCCAGCTGTCAGTGAGAGGGCACAGCCCAGGCACTGGGAGCCCCAGAGCTGCCCTTACCTTCGCAGGCTGTCCTTCTTCTCCTCTCTGCTCAAACAGCTGTCCAGATGTTTGTTGATATATTGCTCTAGAACAGCAACCTCACAAACAGGACACTCCACTGAAAGCAAGGGACAAGGAATTTACTGGTGTGGATATTACAGCAAAGAGTGAGTGTTCTCCTCTGAGAAACAACTGGGACAGTAACAAAACACACTGGTCCTGAGCTGTTACTGTACTGGAACTTACACCTGGGCTCTCAAAACAGGAACAAATAACACTAAACCCTTTCACTGCAGGGGATTCACAAATACTGCCTGACCAACTACTTCACATTTATCATTTCCATGTGATGCATGCTCAAAGATTCCAAAAGATCATAAAATGGGAAGCAGGTGAAAGTTTTAATTGCTCAAAAATAAACAAGCAGTAAAATTTCACGTCAGTTTTAAATCATCAACACAAGCAGGTCTGATGTGTAAAACCATGGCAGGTTTCCTGTGGCTCCTGTCCTGGCTGTGGTACCTCTTTAAGCAGGATTCATCCAGCTAATGAATACATATGAACTTCAGAGTTCCAGATGAATAAATCGTTCAACAAGAGAACAGCAAAATTGGAACTAATAGGAGCCAGGAGTGTATTCCTCCACGGTGTTTTGTTTTAATTTAGGCTTTCAGCTGGGTCAAAGGATGGCTGCCAGCATGTCAGAGGATTCTGCCATTTTATTGTGGTTGATTAGTATAAATGAATATTTTCACGGTTGAAAGTAAATTCACCCTAATTCTCTAGAATTACAGAAGAATAAAGCAGATGACTCTTCTGGAGAGTGTGTGAACAGAAACGTTAACAGAACTGCTGCCAGGCTCATTCTGAGTTCAAGTAACAAACACCTTAGAAAATAACCTGCATCTGGTTACTCAAGGATACAAGAGCAGAACAAATGCCAGTGCCTGCCTAGTCATGAGGGGGAAGGAGAAGAGAAATTACTTCATTTTCACTAAGACTGTTGCACAACTATTGTTATTTAGTGTTGTTACTCAAAGCAAAGGAATCTCTAAGTGCTGAGTTCCACCGAATTCCCTGGCAGCTTTCTGGTGTTTGGAGCAGAGCAGTCCCCCAGCAGCAGTGATGTGGAGGCAGCACGGGCCACTTAAAGGGGCAGGAGCTGAACGTGCCAGCACAGAGCAGAAAAAACACAGAAACAGGATGGGTGCCCCACACTGAGGGTGCAGCCACACTGGGGGACAGAGCAGGACACAAGCAGAAAACGAACTCCTCACCTTTCTTGTCTCCTTTCAGCACAGATGTGGAAGGCTTCTCATGGATTTCCGTGCACCCAGGCATCTCCTGGGACCCCACTTTGCTCTCCTTCCCAGCAGCCTCGGCAGAAGTGCTGTGCAGCTCGTGGTGCTCCTCACTTCTGAAACTCTTCTGGCCGGCCCATGGCAGTCGTGCCGCGGTGGGGGTGCAGCCTGTGTCCTTCCTGGGGAAGCTGGGGGTCCCTGGCCCCTGTGCAGGCTCTGCCTCAGCACCAGGACACTGCCCAGGGGCTGCTGGGGCAGCGTCCAACACCAACTGCAGCAGCTGCTGCCTGGAAACATCCAGAACAAAACACTCAGCTAGCACACTGCAAGCTGCTAAGAACATCAAAGCCTGTTTGCCAACACACACTCTTTTTTGGGTGTGAAAATACAGAAAATGCGAGGACTGAGGGCAGAAGAGGAGGGAGCAGTCCCACACTGGCTTCTGGGCTCATGAGCAGCTGGGTGATGACATCTCATGGTCCCACACCCCAGCCCCAGGGACAGCAGAGCCAGGGCACAGCAGACACTCCTGGCACAGCCCTGGGCTCTCCAACAGCCCTTTGTCACCTGCCACCCCCTCCCCCAAAACAGAGGGAATTACTCAAATTTCTCACTAATCACAGAAACTCTGACAGTGGGACTGGAGAGATTCAGGCAAGCATGACTGGACTGGAAGCTCATCCATCACTGAGCAAGCCCAGAGGAAGCAGGCAGTGATGGAGGGCTCCAGCCCGGGCAGCACCAGCCTGGAGCTCACCTGGGAGCTGATCCTACAGCAAACATCAGTTCAAAAACCTCTGCACATTGTGTACGGTCTCTGTGATATTATAACAATTTAACAGACTGCTGTGAGCTCTGAGCTGACAGAATTTTACCTGCCTGGCACAAAGCAGTAACTGCAGCACAGCTGCCAATGCTCAGGTCATGAGCAGAGTAGTGTCCTTGCCCCTGAAGGCTGAGATAAATCAGCCGGGTGTCAGCAGAGCACCACGACCCAAACCCTGAGATGGGGCAGGGCAGGGAGTTAAAAACCACCTTTAACTAAAGATGGATGGCTTCTTCACATCCTTCCCTCCAGCACCCTCCCTCTGCTTCAACAGCAGCACCAACAGCTCCCCACACCTTTTCCTTCACATCTGTAACACCCACAAAAAACAAGCGTCCTTATCAGGCTCCTGGCTCCCATTTTACAATTCCCATTTTCCATTTACTTCTCTCCTGCTGAAACAGCAATGAAGCAGAGTTGTTGGGAATCTAGGGCTTCCACATAAATCAATTCCAAGGAAGAGCCAGAGGTGTGAATCTTCCTAGGAACAACTCACACAGAACAGTCCCAGCTGCACTAAAGGCAATGGATCTCCTTGAAATTCCTCCTGCATTCCTGCTGGAGGCTCAATCACTGTATCAGCAGTGACAGCACCTGCTCTCCCCAGTACCCACAATCGATGTGTTTATTCCTCTGACTCACTACCTGTCCTGATTAGGAAACAGAAACTTGACAGTAAAAACATTTTTCTTCCCTATGTATGAAGAACAGCAGAAATTCTTTTCAGCAAGGACTACTTTTCTACTTAGGCAAGTATAACTCTAATTTCTATTGCCAAGTTTTCTAACAAGGTGATGCAGAAACTGACACATTTTCTCAAAATAATCTCTTTAGCAGAGGGCAATGAAATCAATTCTTTACACACCAAACTTGACATGTTATTTCTGAAGAGACTGACCTCACAGCAACTGCTAAGAGAACTCTGCATTAGGGACAGCTGCTGCAAACACTGCTCATCTTCCTCTCCTGGCCTGGCCAGAGCCAGGAATTCTGCCCCAGAGCACAGACAGGTGAGGGAACAGAAACGTGCCCATGGCAATGCCCTGCAGCTCCTGGGCTGCCCTTCACCAGGGCTCTGCACACTCACACCCATGGAAGGCTGCTCAGAACTGCTCCTCTCCCTTTCCCACAAACAGCCTGGCCGTGAGGAAGCTCAGGACAGCTCCAGCCTCGCTGAGAGCCTCTGTGAACAGGGAGGGAGCTGCATTCCCACACATCCCCCTGCAAACACCCAGCACACTGTAAATGGGACCAGCTCACTCTGGCTGCAATGATTCCCACTCCCTGCAGGCACTGACCTTGGAGCACAGCTTTCACTCTAAGTGCCACCAACATTACCATTTTCCTCCCCTCCAGGCCTGACTTAAGAAGTGGGTTTGCACTTTGTGAAATGCTGAGAAGATTTAAGGCCTCATTTTCATAAACATCGAACTACCCAAGGCTCAAAGTCAAGTTAGAACACACTTGATCTTTGACACATGCTGAGCTCTTCAGCCCCTGGACTGTGGATTTGCTTTTGGGGACAGCCAAGAGGAAACACAGCAGATGGAGAAGGAGAGGGGAGACAGAAAATTTCCTGCACAAGAGCAGTGGTGCTCTGACTGAATGATCCTCAACTCACCAGCAGTGTCCCCTCAGCTCAGGGCAGCCCCAGGTGCCCAGCCTGGGCCTCATGGGCCCTCCTGCACTCCCAGAGGAGTCAGTGCCACTGCAGCAGCCAGCAGGAGCCTTTCCCTGCACTGCTTCCCTCCACCCAGGCCACACTGGGCTCCACAGCCCTCCTCATCCAACTCCATGTGAGGAATTGATTGAGCTCCAAGTCACAAAGGGAAAGGTTATTGAACTACTCTCACTGGTAAGATTTATACTGATCCATTAAAGCAGTCAAAAAAAAAAAAAAATTAACATTTAAGATTCAATATCATAATGGATCCAAGTCAGCACTACTTGTTCCCTACAAAATTAGGCATGAACAAAAAAATAGTAATCCATTTATCACAAGGAAGGACCAGAATTCAAGCTGAAACAGTGGAACTGTAGGATTTATATTATTCAAATAAATCAATTAAATTTACTAGTGCTCATATAGAAGATTAGATCTATCTACATTCTATGATCTTCATCAGAGAAAAATTCTCTCATGAAACAAAGCCATCAACTGAACTATGCTTCTTGTCACTTACAGAGCCAAGAGTCTCACTGATTCCAGCTCCAAGTTAATCTCAGAGAAAAAGATGAAAGTGCATTTGTCTCCTGTAGAAACAGGAACACCCATAGAATTCCCAGAAAATCACTGAGTAGCTTCTCATCAAAAGAAAACAGACAGGTAATACAAGGAGCTTCGTGTATCTACTGTTGTGAGAATTTACCAAGTCATATTTATTTTGTTATTCCAGTCTTTTAAAGGGATGTGAAACTCAAAAATGTATTAAAAACAAACAGAAAAGTAGGTAAGAAATCGAGTTTAAAGCACAGCATGCCATTGCTCTCCTTACTCAAGAAAACTCCCGTTTTTAGTCTTTCAATACCTGCATTTTCCCTAGCCAGTGACTCCACCAAAGGAAGGCTCTTGCAAGGTGACCATTACCACGGGACAAATCCTTCTATTCCCAACCCCCCTGCACACACAGCAAGGAGCCTGCAGAAAACCTTCCCTACCATTATTGCCCCCAGAACCCTGACATGTCTGTTGACCCTACACACTGGCAGGGACTTGCAGTACCTTCCAGAGCAGCTAGCCAGGAGCAGACCCCAAACAAGGCTGGAAAAGCTGCACATCCCTGCAGGGGACAGCAGCCTGGGGCACAACACTGCAGGGCTTTTCCAACGTGCACACACCCATCTCTGCCAGTGCTTCTGTCACTCCACTGCTTTTCCTGCTCAGCTCTCTCTGCTCCTCTCAGGGCTGCTCACACACAGTCACACCTGCCCAGCTGCCAGACCAGACAGAGTAGCCAGAAAATCACAGAAATACCTTGCAGAATTAAAGCTCTTCACTAGATCATCTAAAAGCCGGTTGTTTCTCAGGTCAGATTCTGAGACTGCCTGTTAAAAAAAACAAAGAAACAAAAACAACGAACCTAAACAAACAAACAAACAAACATTCAAATGCAGTGCAAACAGCAAATGCCCAGAAAATGTTCAAGTGATCAATAACTTGCTTCTAGGCTCGATGCCTCAACTCGCCCACTAGAGTGCTGCAGGAATTAAGATTTTTAAAGGGTAAACACTTCTTCCCCAAAAATATCTCATATTAAAATAACTGCCTGAGAACTTCAGTCTGGATATTAAGGGTAATAGGTAAAAACAAAGCATAAAGCTAAAGCAACAAAGCAATAATTGTTTATTGCAGCAAAGGTCCAACAATTCTGAAAACCAAACCAAAGATCTTCTGAAGGTGGTGAGGACCTTAAGCAACAAAGCATGAAAACTGATTAAGGGAAACGTTTATCTTCTGATTAAGGAATGAAAATATGAATTATAAGATGCCTTTGTGCATTCAATTCATTCTTTTTAAACAATCTCTGATTTTTACTTCACTGCAGCTCTCTCTGTTCTTCTTTTTAACAAAGCTTTTATTATTTTTTTATTTTCATTTTGAGATTAAATGGGGCCACTCACACACAGAAAATTAAGCACTGACTTTTCAGCACTGCTGGTTTAAATGATGGAATATTTTAACAAATTCATGTGAAATGTTTTGTGGCAGATTGTACTCACAGCCCTGAGCCAAACCCCAGGCCTGATGCTCCACCCCTTGTGCCTGCACTGACAGAGCACCTCTGAAACACGAGAATTCCAGCTGCAAGAGCACCACACTTTGCCATGCAATCAGAACTGATTATTTGGCATAATCCAAAGGGAAAACCCCTGAGATTTGTCAAAAGATAAAAATAAACAGAGGGGAAAAATCCAGAAGCACACTTACCACACAGCACGTTGGACACTGCGTTTTGTAGGACAAAAACTTGCGGATGCAAAGGGAACAATCTGGAAAAAGGAAAAACATCATTTTCAGCATAATTCCAAATGCACTTCCACATCCTTGCTTGTGCATTTCCTTATTGTACAATACATGCAAGCTATTCCACAATACACACATATTGAAAAGACACCGTTTTTTACATGGAATTGAGATTATCATTGCTGCAAAATAACCTGTATTTTATGCAAACATGTTTCAACATCGAATATCAGCTCCTCTTTCTAAAGCTGATGTTTGTTTCCTTTTGTTTCCCAGTGCAAAAACCCTTCCTCAGCCACCACCCCTCCAGCAGAGTTTGCACTGCTCACTCCCCCACCACGCTGGGTTTTGACATGACTAATGTTATCACTTTCATCTTCCTGCACAGCCCCAGACTAACTCAATCCCCCGTTTTCCCAGGCTCTTCTGCCCCTTTCCAAAACAATACCAACTTGTTGTTGAAAGAGGCTAAAAAGGAGGGGAGACAGCCCTGAAATGCTGAGAGACAGCTTGATGCCATCCCATCATCACAGGATGCCTGCACAGACTGGGTGCTGAAACAAGCCATAAGCTTCACATTGTCACTGTCAACTTCGGCGTTTGTTACACTTTGTCAATTTATCCACCAGCCTTCACAGCCAATTAAGGATTTAAAAAGTCTCATCATTCTTCAGGAAACGACATTCCCTCACTAGACCATCATGGGTCAGTCTCAGCACTGAACACTCAGCAGCAGCTCCTGAAAGAGATCTATACTCCACAGCCCTCTGGGAATACATCTGAAAAGCAGCAGAAGCATTAATTAATTAATCCCAGAATGGTTTGGGTTGGGAGGGACCTTAAGGCTCATTTCATCCCACCCCCTGCCAAGGGCAGGGACACCTCCCACTAGACCAAGCTGCTCCAAGCCCAATCCAACTTGGTCTAGTGCATCAATTAACACTTAAAACCACAAATCCATCTAAATGTTTAAAAATTACTACATATATAGTAAGGAGTGATACAGGGTGAGAAACCAATGAAGAAAAGAAACCAACTTTAACAGTAGGAACAGGAATGAAGTGGCAGGTCCAGGCTGCCAGCATGTGACAGGGCAGCACCTTGCCATGGGCCAGGCCCTGTGAGCAAGGATTGCTCCTGGAGCCACTGCCCCAGGCAGGCTGCACCACCAGCACGGGCACAGAATTCCCACTTTTGTGGCTCCCCACACTGGTTCCAATGGTGACAGCTTTGCCAAGCTAAACTGAACTTCATTGCCAAACTACAATGTCCTCCTTCAGGGAAGGAAGTGCTGCAGTTTCTGAACCAAACAATTACAAGCATTTATTTTAACGTGAGAAAAGGCAAGGTACTTCCTCCCTAATCTGGCTTCGGCAAACTCCTTGGGGCCAGGCTGCAGCAGATATCGCCCAGGGCAGACAGAGCAGCACGGAAAATTTGAGCTCTTAGTGCCCTCCATATAGAGCTTTGTATTTGTACCACCCTCAAGATGTTAAGCAAAGATACTTAAATGAAGAATGCCAGATGCCACGTGTTTGTACTAGAGCAGGAACCACACAAGGGAAGGCTCTGGCTCCTTCCATCTTGCAAAGCTCCTCCCAGCTCCCATGGCAAAGAGAATCACAGAACGCTGCAATGGTTTGGGTGGGAAGGGACCTCACAGCCCATCCAGTGTCACCCCTGCCATGGGCAGGGACACCTTCCACTGTCCCAGGCTGCTCCAAACCCTGTCCAAACCTGGCCTTGGACACTTCCAAGGATGGAAGCTTCTTTGGACACTTTGTGCCAGGGCATCACCACCCTCCCAGGGAACAGTTTCTTCTGAATCTCTAATCTGCCAGCAGGAAGCCGTTCCCCCTTGTAAACAGTTTCTCTCCCCGTTTCCTGCAGGCTCCAGAAGCTGCACTGTTGGCAAGGCTGACCGATCCCGGCGGGCCCGGCCTTTGCTCTCGGCTCACACTCGAGTCCCCGCGGCACTCACAGCTGTGCGAGCACTGCGGGATGATCACGGCGATGCTGAAGTAGTCGAAGCAGATCCCGCAGCGCAGCAATTCATCCACGGCCTGCAAAGACAGAGAGCGGGGTGAGCGGGACGGGGAGGGAGCAGGGACAGGGGGCGAGCGGGGACAGGGGCCCGGCACCGGGCAGGGATCGCTGCGGCCGCTGCAGGGCCCGGAGCTGTGCGGAACCGCCCCGGGACCCCCGCCCGCCCTCCGCGCTCCGGCCCCGCACGCACCTTCAGCGGGGCCAGGCTGGGCGGCCACGGCGGCTCGAGCAGCGGCAGCGCCAGGGCCATGGCGGTGCGCTCCCACCCGGCCCGGTACGGCCCCGCTGCGGCTGGACCCGGCCCCCGCGCGGCTGGACCCGGCCCCGGCGCGGCTGGACCCGGCCCCGGCGCGGCTGGACCCGGCCCCGGCGCGGCTGGACCCGGCCCCGGCGCGGCCCCGCTCAGAGCGCGGCGGGCCCGGATCCGCGCGCTCAGCGCCGCGCGCTTCCGCCCGCGCTTCCGGCAGCGTCCGGGAACGGGGATGGGGAGAGGGATGGGGACGGGCACGGCCGGGACAGCTCGGGGAGCGGGGACGGGGAACCGGGAATTGCCGGGACAGCTCGGGGAGCGGGGATGGCGAACCGGGAATTGCCGGGACAGCTCGAGGAACGGGATGGGCAGCAGGGACGGCGAACCGAGAATTTCCGGGGAAGCCCGGAGAACGGGAACGGGGATTGCCGGGGCAGCTCGGGGATGGCGAAGCGGGGTCCCGCTGCCCCTCATGCCGGGCCCGTCCGTCCCTCGTACGCTCCTGCCGTGGCTTTTCAGAGGGCGGAGTGGCGGCACAGCTGCAAAACTGCGCTCGTTTGTAACGAAGGCCAGTTAAAGGCGTGCTCGGGCAGCTCCGAGCGCTGGGCATGGACATTGTGGATGAGTATGAAGGGGCAGAGCCCGGCCTCCCCCGGCCATCCCGCAGGGCTCAGCCGCTGCCAGCCAGGTGTCCTGGTCTGTGTGGTCCAGGTGCTCTCAGGCTGGAGCCCTCCGGCCGTGTGGGTGAGGTGTGCAGATGCGCTGAGCCCCGCCCTCTCGGCATTACCTGCAGTTACCTGCGCTCGGCCCAGGTGTGTGTCTGCCCTTGGCTCCTCCCGCGGCTCCGCTGGCTTCCCCTGGGAATGGGCAGCACCCACATCAGCAATGCCCGGCACGGCAGAGCCCGGGCTGAAAATACACAGCCTGATACACAGAAACGGCAGGTACTGAGTGATCAGAGCTGCTCTGCGGCACTGTGCATCTCTGAATTTATATATTTATATCGTTGAGTGGATATAATATATATACTTTATATATTTGAGGGGATCAGATCGCTGCCTGCCCTTTGCCAAAAGTGCTGAAATTTACAGAATAGCGTCATTGCCACTAACGTGCTTGTTCTTTTCACCTCAAGGAGTCAATTTCTGCTTTCTCTGTGAGCTGTGACCCAACTAATGTATCAAACTCCTGCAATTTTCTGTTCTCTTCATTCCCTCGTGCACACAGAAGATCTTGGGTCACACATTCTGACAGGAGCTTATTGGGTGGGAATTAACTCACCCAGGAATGGGCACAGAGGGTTCATGGGTTCGTTTCTGCAGCAACACGTTTATTTTTTTGTTTAAGTGGGCTGATGAAGAGCAAAGGGCAGTGAATGTACAGCCAAGCCATACACACAGCCTGCTGCTGAATAAAACACAGTTTAAACTATTTCCATGCTAAAAGCACCATATAAAAGAACCCTGGTGAGTTTGTGCTTTCACCTGAATCCTGCACGCTGCAGAAGCTGCAGAGCATCCCCTGCTCAGGTAGCGTGGCAGGATGGTCCCTTTAGCCCAGGTGTGTGAGCACTGTCCTGTCGGGATGCAGGGCTGTGCCATGTCCCACCGTGCTGTCCCCAAAAGCTGTCCGTGCTCGGCTGGAGCCGGCCTGAGCCGTCCCAGGGGCCGTGCTGGGTGAGCACAGCTCTCCTCCCCTGCAGGAACCCTTCCTGCTGTGTTATTGGCACTCTGTGCCTCGGTGTAGCAACAATAAACTGCTTTCTCTTGCTGAACGACCACGTTACCACTTGTTATTATACACAGAACGTATCTCCTCCTTCCAAGCCTCTGTAATACTCATTTAAATTAAAATATCAGGAGGTCCCAACTGCATTTTCATAAACTTGTTGCTCTTTTCTGTTCGCAGAAAAATGTATGGAAAAGCTTAGTAGGAGGTGGAGCAGCCTGACACAAAGCAAATCTCCAAAAGCTACTGATTTTCACTTGTGTTGTTAAGACAAAATATTTAAGTAGAGTTTTATATAATTCCCATCTGGTTGTGCACAACTTAATAAAGTAAAGAGCATTTGTTCCCCTGTGGTGCTCAGTGCCTCGTGCAGAACTCTTGTTTTTCTCCATGCCCCGGCAGACAAACAGCTCATCCTCAGCTGCCTTCAGTGCATGGATCTCGAAATTAAAACCTAACAAGGTCTGCCTCCATGTCACTGGGCATTCTTCATTATAGATGTACAAATGCAGCACAGAAACAAGCCTCTGGACGCCAGCATGTAGATTGGATGAAAAATCAGCAGAAGAACATTCTGTACTTAAAAAGAGAATATCAAACCCCAAACCAGAGAACATTTTGAGTTAATTGTTTCTGAGTATTTTCAGAGATTCCTTAATGTTTAAAGCAGTGGAAAGTTTCTCGTCATGTCACTCCCAACTGGAAAGAAGAACCTGAAACCATGGGTAAAATTGTTCAGAAATATTTAACATTGACCTTGCTCTGCCCTTGTGTTAAAGTTGGCAACTATTTATTGATTTCTAGAGGACTAAATTTAGTCTGATGTTGAGACTTTTGGAACATTGTTGTGGTTTAACCCCAGTCAGCATCCAAGCCTCACACAGTCCCTCCCTCACTCCCCACCGTGGGACTGGTGGTAGAATCAGAAGGGTAAAAGTGAGAAAACTTGTGGGTTTGAGATAAAGACAGTTTAATAGGTGAAGCAAAAGCCACACACTCAAGCAAAGTAAAGGAATTAATTCAGTACCTTCCATGGGCAGTCAGGTGTTCAGGACAGCAGGGCTCCAGCACGTGTAACAGTTACTTGGGGACACAAACCCCAGTGACCCCCACCCTGTGCACTGAGCATGATGT